TAAATAAATATGGGTTGCAGTGGGCCACTTACAATGAAAGTAAATGAGTCCAATTCTTAAACATCAAAGTTGGCATGATATTAATATTCACCCTATCTATTTTGTAAACTCATGCTAATGATCTTATTGTGAATGATTATCCCATGTATATGTTTATTTTCTTTTTTTAACTTTGTAATGTTTAATAAAAATGTCAATCTTCCAGTGACATGACAGACTTCTCTCTGGTGACTTATGCTGGACATCTCCAATTATTTAGTTCGCTTAAACCCTGCCTCTCCACAACTGACTTCAAGTGTGCATTATATTTGAGTGCAATGGCCACAATTCATAATCCATTTAACCGATTGATACAACTATATTTTTACACTCGGATGTACGTCATGATATGGAATAAAATATTTGTCACTTTTCTGTTACACTGCGACTTTCAATATCTTATCAATATCATATGGCAACAAAATGTTGAAAAAATTGGTTACTTTTTTGTATAACGGTGTTATTTTTACAAAATACATCATGACACAACTTAAATTTTAGCTGTAAAGCAGCTGTAGTGTCAAAAGTGTCCTTCAGCTCAATTTAATTCGGCGTTGATTCAATACATTTTTTTCCAGTTATATCTAATTTTACAACTTCATTGCCATGACAATGTAACCCCATAAAGACCGTAACACTAAAAATGATTGAACCTCGAATATTCCTTTAATGGTAAATTGACCCTGTATATTTTTCTCTTTAAGGAAAAGGAGAGACTGTCTGTCTTGGAGAAGAGATACCAGAGCCTGACTGGTGGAAAGACTTTCTCCAAGCCTGCCAGCACAAAGGAGGTAAGAGCATTCAGCAGCCATGACTTGTACAAATGGGTAATTGGCCTGTTTTTGGTTGGCAAGCAAACTACTTTTTTTACTCTAAACTGGTGAAACAGGCTGTATACAGAAGCCTTGTGATCTAAACTCGTAGAATCATTATAATTCATGAGATATCTGTGCTGTTTCTCAGTATTTAGTGCATTGGTTTGAAATAAACGGATCGTTGTGTACGTCCTGATGATGGTGTCCGTGGGGAAACACTCAACTCCCGCTTAGCAGTGATGAGCACGGTTTTTTCTGGGTTATTGCAATCGGCGATAAGCTTCATGTCGATGCCTCTTTGATCAGCCATAAAATATGTAGAGGGAACTTGAAGAAGTTTGATAAGATAAAAATGTTCTTTGGCATGGTTTGTGCAACACTGTCTGTGCGGTGGTGTCTGGTGTTTATATTCAAAACAGGAAGTGCTTTACATCAGTGAACCTGATCTTTTAGATGAACTCCCTACCCAGATTTCTCTGCTCCCCTCGTCTTGTTGTCAAAGATCCACCCCTCAGATATATTCTAACAGGCCACAGGAGGTAAAAGCATGACCCCAGCACAGCTGTGAGGGATGTACAAACTAACAAAACCATTATGTCATTCACACTTACGCGCTTGTGCAGTTCAGTCATTTCACCCTTCATAAGGAACATGTGTCTGTGTGGCTGATGAATGGGGATGGGAATTGTAAAGAATT